CATATCACTGAGAAAGCACAAACTTAGCAAACAAACAAATAAATAAATGTTTGCTATATTCACCAAATTCAGCAATCCAGAGTTCAACTTTGCTCTAAGGGAAATTAAATAAACTCTCATTAATTCCAGAGGGTGAAGAACTGGGTTCAAAAATCCTAAATATATTTTACTAATAGAATTCATCTCATTAACAAGCTGGCATGTGAACCCATTTCTCCCTGCTGCTGAAAGCAGCTTGTGGTTTGCTTTTATTCTTTGAAACACAATTAGCAAAGCCCTCCAGCAGCTGAATAGAGCTATTCATTTGAACAAATTATTCCCTGGCAAAGTTTAAAAAAAAAAGGGGGGGAAAGAAAAAAAGAAAAGCTCCCCCAAACTCTTGCATTCTGGTGTGGTTAGAAGGGGCACAAAAGCCTGACTGTCATTAATCTTGCCTGGCTGTGCCTGGAAAAGACAAGTGGGACACAGGCTGCTGAATGTGTTATGCCTCTGCCGCTCTCTCGGCGACACTGCTGAATTGGCTGCYTCTCCCAACTCTTATCTTAGCTGGTGTACAACCCTAATTAAAAGGCTGACGTAACGAATGCACATAGGGAAGAGTCTGGCACGGAYGGTAGGGATGAGATGATAAACTTTATGAGCACAGCTACCTCCCACGTAGCTTTTGTAGTTAATGTTGGCTGGCAAACTGTTGCTCTTACGCCGGTCGCTTCTCATTTAGGAGAGCTGAAAATGTTAAAAGTAGCAGACTTGCCCTTTTTAATAGGCAACAGCATCTCCCTATCCAATTAATCTATGTAGCTGTGATTCTGCACACATTCTTTCACTCAGATAACTTCCCAGGCAAGCCAGGCTCCAGTTCCCTTCTCCTCCTGTTCATTCTCAGTGTGGTGAAAACGGCTGTGGAAAGGATAAAACCCACACATTTGCCTAATGAACAATGCAGCCATGTAGTTAACACACCAGAGAGGTTTGTTTAATTAGCTAAATTTTCTGCTTTTAAATTAGAAGAAAAAAATAAAAAATAAATAAAAAACACAAGCCATGGGTGGTCTGTAACCTCAGAAGAGCAAATATCCTGGGCTGTAAAATCATTGCTGCTCAGAATACTGGGTCAGGCATAAAAAAGCATTTATTGAATTCTAGACCTGGGTCAGGAACAGAAGGTGCATTAAGAACTTTCAAACTGCAGCCTACCACCAATTCAACTGCTGTTCGGCATTATTTAATAAAAATGGGTTATGCATATACTTTAACTGAAATCCCATTTATTCATAAACATTTTTAACTAGAGCATCTGTTGGGACCTATTCACACTCCAGTTCAGAGACAGTTTCAAATGCTTCCTTCAAGCGAACACCGGCAATTCCCCCTGCAGTCTGCATGACCTCTGCTATAGGTCTGCAGAGTTTGTCCCATATGTTGCTATTAAACTGGGGAGTTCAATTTCCTTATAAATTCCAGAATGTGTTGCTGTGAATATCTTGGTACTGTATTAGAGAGAAAAAAAAATGGTCTATTTTTTGTAACAACATTAAAGTGATTCTACTGTTCCTATGCCTGAACACGCCATCTAAAGAGATTTCTGGAAAGAATTCCACATTTGGCTATATTTTATCAAAGAGGTCAGCCCCCAGGAAATGGCCAGAGCTTCTAGAGAACATCAAGATGTTTACTGAAATAGTAATCAAGTCATTTATATTAAAAGCTCAAGTGAGAGCTGAGCAGATCTGATCCTTCAGCCCAGTTCTTTGGCTTGTATTAACATGACATGTAACTGCTTTCAGACTCAAAAAATGATAAGAGAGCAAACTAATAACACTCACTAAGAGGCACTGCTGGCTGTCGAGCAGCTGTTGCAGTGGGATGTTGCAGGCAGAGATCACCCTTAGCTCTGTCTTATGCAGTTAGTACGTACCCAAATAGTTCTAAGAGGCCTTCCTTGATCACCCCTGAATCCTTTTACACCCTTATTTTCACTGGTGGCGAGGTAAAAAGTGTTAAAGAAAGTTGATTCCTTCAGAACAGAAATATTTAGATAAATCAGAGAAACTGCATCTCCAACACTTTCCTACCATCCATTCATCAGTGGATGAAGGGCAGGGTCTTCTACCTTCCCCATCATCATAATGTAAAATCCGTACCAAAACAACARCAATTTCTGACCTGGGAAAGAAATATCCAAAACATGTTCCCTGAATTTCATTTCTTTCTGTCCAATTTCACAGCTGGAAATGAAGATGGCCAACACTTTTTGACCCGCTATTTCTCCAAGGGCCATATGTGCTCTTCAGTCCAGCAATCTGACAACTGCTCTTTCAGGACTTTGCCCTTTCTGTTTTTCTTATCTTCCCTTCTGTCATCTGCTTCTTTTCCATTTTTAGGAAGTTCTTTCTTGGTAGATAATAATGCCTTTAGGATTAATGTTGGCAAGAGGGCAGGACAAAATGGCAGCACTAACTGCTATTGTTTTCGCTAGGGTCACTGTGAGATAATTTAGGCCATACATCCAGGGCCTCATTTTTCTGTAACAGTGGAAAAATCCACACGGAAGAGCAGAAATGCTAAATGCTAAATCCAAATTTCTCTGAATCTGTCCTCTTGGGACACGGCTTACAGAAAAGGATGTGGATTGTTTCAACACTCGCGGATAGGATTTCAGATAGACTGTACCATGTTATTAAAATTCACATATTGTTAATGAATAACAATTATTTTTCTCTACTCAAGCCCCCAAAGTCCCTTCTAAAAAAGGTTTTATATACTCACTGCATTAGGAAGCTGTAAGAAAGCAGGTATAGGAGGGTCTACTGAAATCTATCTTTTAAGCATCAGTGCAATACTAGGAGATTCTGCATTTGAAACCAAATTTCTTTTCCCCACAGCTGAGATCCATAGATCCTAAGTGAGAAGTCCCAAATCCCAGAGGCCTGGACCATGAATTATTCAAGATCCTGCTTCAAAGGGCAGGGAACGACAGCAGACATAGAGATACATATCACATGTTCTTGCTCTGCCCCAAGGCAACAAGAGCAGAGCAGGATGAGGGAAGAAAGCCAGAGGGGAAAGGAAGAGCAGGGAGAGGTGGAGGAGTCAGTAGCCACGTCAGCAGGAATTCCAGGGGTCTGCATGAACAGAGGACCAAGGAATCTCGGCTTCAAACTGCCCTCCCTGACACGGCCACTCACCCACGAGTTGGGCACCAGGACCCTGAGCTCTCGGCCAGTTCAACTGTATTCTTTATTTGGGAGAATTTCACACTGCCCTAACCAGAACCACCACCAGACCCTACAGCTGGAAGTCTTCGGTGGTGACTGGATCTSCTAATATTGAGAACTGCATTTCTCAGCAACCACAACCAAGGGCAGGTGGCAGGTTTTCAAGGTGTGTGTCCTGGCAAGTGACATCTGCATAGGGGCACGCAGAGGGAAAGTGGAAAACGAGCACAAATCACAGCCCCTTGCCTTGCTCAGAACTTTTTTTAACAGGTTCTTCAGAGGGCAGCACCTTGAACTTGTCGCTTCGGTTGTCTCTGTTTGCCTGAGGCAAACACCAACAAAAGATTGTTTCTGCCTGCTTGGAGTCTGGAAGCTTTGCAGTGAAAATGTAAGCCACTCATGTGATTCAACATTACATTTTAAACAAAAATACAGAAAAGTGCTAATTCGCACCAGTTTTCTGAGGAGAGCTGAGGTTATGCAATAAGCTGCAGGAAGGGTCACTTACTAGCACAGCCTTCAAGTTATCAGCTTTTGTTTTGAATCAAAGACAATTGCTCCATTGAGGGGGACTCAGTGCTTAATGCAATGCACAAGTAGGAGCTGAAAGTGAGGAATTCAGGTTTTCGTTTTGTTTTGTTTTTGAGTTTAGGACCCCAATTCCCCTCAAATCTCACTTCAGGTGTCAAAGTGGGTGCTCGGGATGCCTCAGCTCCTTTCACCCAACAGGCAGCTTTCAAAGCAACTCTACCTTTGTTGCAGCTTGTTGTTTTCACAGAAAATATATACCTTTCACAGCAACTTTTGAACCAGCTTGAAAAAAAGAACATAATTTACTACGTTATTCTAACAAGCCAAAAATGTCTTCTGTCTTTCCCAGTTCCTCTATTGAYAGGCTTGTATGATAGTGAAAGAAGCTTTGTGTCACGCACTTAGCTGCAACAAATTCAAGTTTTCCCCAGCAGTTCTTTTTCTAATAAAATGGCTTGTATTGCAGTTTGTGTTTCCTACAGCTRAGCAGTGACCAAACTCCGTTCAAGGCAAATGCTCTTTAAGTGCATTTGGAAAGATTACTCTCCCTTATGGGAAGGGCTGACTATCAGTGAAGGACTTGTATCAGCATGAAGAAATCCTTACAGGTATGTGCTATAAATCTTGCTTTCACAGAAGATTTTCCTAAGAACATGACTAAAGAACTAGCTTTGCTGTAGCTCAAAAGCAATTGTCAGAAGCATCTTCCTCCTGCATTTGGAAAGACAAAAAATAAAGACATATGCTATCCCTCATCCAACTCTGAAAGACACTGAAACTCCCTTAGGTTTAAAAGCACTTGCAAGGACTATTGTGATATAAATGCACAGTCAAAAATAAACATAMGAATTTAAATATGTATACTTGGGAAATAAGACCACATTTCTCACTATCTTTAAGAAAAACTTCACCATCAGATGCAATACACTGTGTGTATTTTCTGAAATCTCTTTTTACTGAAGAAAAGGGAAGAAGACAAAATAAGTTGTCCTGAACACTGGACAACTGGTCATGGATGACTGTGCGTAGGTCTATTCTAACTGGTATTTGCTGTACCCACAGAAAAACAAAACCAAAAAAAAGCACCACACATTGCCAAACAAAGCAAAAGCAGAAGACATGGGCYACGGTGAGTTTTCGTAAATGAAACCAGGTGTTTCTGACCTGAGAAGAGCTGAGTGCAGCTTTTGCTTTAATTAGGAGAGTGTTTTTAAAGATGCTAAAACCTGAAGCCTGTAAACAAGTACTTACGTAATCATCCTCGTGCAGCCCTTGCTTCTGAACAGAACTTTTCACCTCCAAGGAAAACTTCTCAAACTCAGGTTTCACTGTCCTTAACAGAGTGATGGTCTGGAGGTACGAGTACGCCTTCTTGGCTTCAAGGTCATGTTTGTCTCCTCTTTTCCACGAGCCATTTCCTAGGGGGGAAATAAGCATAATTCCAACACCAAATCAGGCACCATTAAAGGGCCATCTTCATTTCTCCATCAAAAAGTCCTCTCTCTTTTCCCTACGGGAGATGCAAAGCATGAGGGGGAACTGAATCCACTTGAGGAAGTGCAGGAAGCAGGGCAGGAAGGAACAGATGATGTGACAGCTGCAAAATAAATGTGCAAACAGAAAGGCAACTTTACTCCCATGCTGTGCTCGCTTGCTTTTAAGGGCTGGATTCAAGTCCAAGCAAGAGAAGACATCTCCCAGAAAAAAAAAAAAAAAAAAAAAAAAAAAAAAGGCAGATCTCAACTACAGAAATATTTACTCACTTGGAACAAGTGAGGGAGGGTCTGACCACAAAGCCTTTACTCCATATCAGCCCATTGGTGACGCTATTTTCAGCCTCAGGTACTCATAAAGGCTCCAGAAAAGACAGTAGGATGATCATCACCTTGCATGGGAGGCAGGTGGTGCAGCTAATTTTCCCACAGAAGTCAAGGAGAGAGCTACATATATGGGACTTGCCAGGCAAGGCCTGTTCCTAKTAGGAAAGAAATGCTTACAAATAAATGGGTTCTGCCTATGCTGTATTTACATGTGTTCCTATGCAGTATTTACATGGGTTCTGCATCACAGCAGAGTTATTAGATTTTTAAAAAGCTGAACAGTTGACTGGTTGTTAATTGCTAGAAGAAGCCCTTCAGCCTAATGGGGCCCAGCTCCAGCTGGTCTGGACACGCTGATCCAGTTCCTCGTGAGATCTGTGGAGAAGTTCGCACTGGCCTGGATCAGGCTTTGCCCTATTCTATGTAAGTGACAAATAGAGGGACCTAAAGTAGGAGTAGAGCATTAGCAGCTCTGAACAGTGGGCCTTTAAACACTTACAAACAAATAAAAGCTAGACGGTCATTTTATTTTTGGAACAGCAACAAGAAAAGTCATGGCTAAATGTGCACATATGAAGACTGTGGAGCATGCCCATCTCTGAAGGGTGGCCTGTAGGGCCATGAGATGAGGATGTGGCTATCCTCCTTGGCTAAAGGACTTGAATCATTGTATTGCTTGGCCTAAGAATAGTAAAGGGTTGGGGAGAGGAGATGCTGCTGCAGACAGAGCCCAGGAGTTAAAGCCTCAGTGCTCCTTGTCCTGTGCTCCAGGCTGCTCCTGAGCAYCTGTGGGAGCAAGACTCCCCAAGCCCTCCTCAAGAAGGTGAATATAGACCATGTGTTTCACCCCCTCTGGCACCCACACACTGCTGATAGGACTTCTCTTTTTTAACACTGAAGGCAATTAGGGAATTGTTCTCCTTCCTTAGAAAGCACAGAGGAAATACAGAAGGAACTGTGCTCCTTCAGGAAAAAAAACCTCTTTTCTCATGCTGCTTTTGCCTCTATAGCAACTCCTGTCACTCTCAAGACAGGGAGCAAGTTCCAGTTAAGCCCTGAGAAAGATTCACATTAAATAGAAACTCCCTTCAGTTTTTAGGGTGCAACTCCCTTGCACCCTAAAAACCCTTTTTTACCATAGGTCAGCATTGGCAAGGACTGAAATCTTTCCAAAATTCATATATGATCTTAGTAAGAATTTTTTACACTTTTTTTTTGGAGCTCTTTTACTCCCTGATGATAAAATTCTAGATTCCTCCAGCTTGACCTAGGGATTTATTTCCCCAATCAAAGATAAACTGGTCAAGAGCATTTACGCTGGGTCTCCATTCATCAGGCCTGACACTGGGCAACAACTAACATCCCACAGAGTAACCTGTTAGTAACATGACCGCAGGCAGAGGCAGCACTTCTCCTTCCRACAGACACACTCTGTCCTCATTCCTGCTTTCCAAAGGAAGGTCATGCACGTCCAGCAACAATATCCTAGCTCAAGGGTTGAAGCTAAACCTGAGGAGCTCAGACTGTGCATGGAAACAGAAGGAAGATCATGGAGCYAGCAGTGTAACTATAGGTGGTTCCCTTTCAATAGGACACAAGCTTTTCCAGAGCACGGAAGCTCAGAATGCAAATAAATTTCTGTCCTGTGCTTATTATACTTTTTTAAAAACCAATTGATTTTTGAAACAGGGAAGCTAAATTTGCATAACAGCGTTCCTAAAATAATTTACACATTTAAATTCCTCCATGGATAATTTTATGAGACGTAGCCCTGCTCCAGTGCATAACTGCAGTTGTTGCMGCCTTGACTTTTTGTAAGTTTGCCTTTCTGAAGAATTAAAAACATTCAGAACAGAGGGCAATAACAAAATAGTCATATGAATTTGGCTTGGGGAAATGATGATTTGCCAACTGYACCCAGTCTTGGATTTTGCAGCGTTTGTAATTTCAGTTTCTCAAGGCACTTTGAAGAGGAAATTTCTCTGCGTTTCTCTGTAGGTTTGCTGGGATGACCATCTGCACTGAAGGCAGTTTCTGACAAAAAGGCATTTTGCTCTTCATGAAAAACACATCAAGAAAGAAACAGAAAGACTGTTTCTGAAGAATTTGGTATTAGGAAATGCCACAATTAACATGAGAGGGTAGACACTTTTAACTATTTACTTTGAGAAAATATAAATAGACTGGACTTTCTATGACCCAGGGAGGAAAATGCTGAGATGCCAGCACAACTACAGGGCAAGTGGGTGCCAGTACCCAGCACAGGACCATGTGGAGGTCCCCATCAGGACAGGACAGCACAGCGCTGCCTGCTAAATCTTTGTGTGCAGTCTGCAAGTGCAGTCTACCATCCCAACGGGCATCTCCTGCAGTGTGAACCAACTGGAAAATGTTGTGTCCCATCTCCTGGAGCTGCTGATCTCAATGAGCATCTCCATGCTCAAGGACAGCTTTGGGAAACATCTATCCCAGCCACTTCTGGCGCTTCCCTGGTAGATCTCCAGGGYTGAGCTAGTCACCCTGGGCTCTGCTTGCAGCCCAAGGCAAGGAAACAGCAAACTCTAGGGAATGATTCATCTGAGCCACTTCAGACAACCAAGGTGGAGGTGAACCACTGTTCACCTCCTGAAACTCTAAAGGCAGCCCAGCTTCGAGGCAGATTTGTATCTAAGGTCAGATTAACCACATCTGACATTTTCACTGTGAGATGAAATGCAGCYCAGCGGTAACGAGACACTACCAGAAACTGGAGCAGTTATTTGATCAGTGGTTTCTAGGCACAGGTTAAAAATCAAGTCTGACAAATGCCCATAGTCTATAGAAGGGCTGAAACTTCACGATTCTGTGACTGGTAAGGGTAAAACTTTCAGTTTTTACCCTGGTCATGATTAAGGTTGCAATGCCAATTGGTTCCACCTTATTTCAAGACAGATGAAATTACTGCAAATTTAAACCAGTAAACACAAAACCTTGATCTGAACTTAAAAAACCTATGTATATCACAGAGCTTTTCAAAAAAGAGAGCTATTAGGAAGTGATTTCAGAGGATAATTGGATAATCAGAAGCTTATTTAAAAGATTTTTACTTAACAATAACATATTTATTAGATAAAACACATCATCCTTTTGTGAATTCAACTGTTTCTGTTTTTCAGGGTTTTGTTTTTAAGGCACACAACAAGAAGACAAGTTTTCCTTCTTTTTCATGTCCCACTTGGTCTTCATTTTTAAATTAAATTGTTTTTGTACTGGATTAGTTAAGGCAGCCTGCAGGGGGGAAATTATTTTTTCCGGCACCTGCAAAAGAAACTGCTCTTCCAAAAGCCATTTTGGCACTTCAATAAAATTTAGTTCTTGGGCAGGCACTTCCCTCCATTTCAGCAGTCTGAYGTTGTTTAAAACTGACAGCAAACACATTGCTCAAGCATTAATTTTAATTTAACCGAGGCAGCTGGTAACAGCTGACAGGAGGTTGGTCTCTATCACACACTGCCATAYTATCAAATGTAGGTACAGCAAATGCAAATGTAGGCATAGCAAAAAGCAAATGAATTTCAGTTATATTTAAGTCCTGCTTTAACTTCACAAATTGGATCAAAACTAACGTCTATTTCTTTCCTGCATGATCATGACCCAAGTGGAAGGTAATTACAATAACAAGGAGAGATGATAGTGTATTCTGAGATTCTAGGGGGCATATTGAGGCCAACAGATCTAAAAATATTTCCAGATTTATAGAAGAACTTGCAACACACTTGAGGAGGAAAAAACATTACCAAATGATGAGCTGTTGAAGAGTTCAATATTGAAGAAAGCGTAGTCCCCATTGGTCATTCCTTGTCGATGAGCAGCTAACATGATGTTCCTGATTGTGTCACCGCTGGCACACATGATTACAACTGGTGGAGAAAAATGGAACACAGATAAGAAGCAGTTCAAGTACTTTTGAGAACAGTTTGTTAAGTGTGAACGTTGCCAGAGACAGTAACCCAAACTGTCCTCCTAATGTTGCAACAAATACGACAACTCAGCTAGCAAATAAAGCTGATTTCCCAAAGAGTCCACAGAAGACAGGCACCAAGCACAGGACAACTTCATACTCCTTTGCCTCCTCCCAAAAGGATTTTTCTTAAAAAAAAAAAAGGGGGGGGGGAGGGGGAGAGAGGGAGACATATTTTACTAGTGCAAAATGCAGTGAAGTTCTGACTTTGCATTTGCTCAACTGCATACATTCACCAAGTTAACTGTAATAGAAAGCTTCATAATGGTGGCTTCATAATGAAGATAAGACAGTCTGAAGATGAAGTATGAATATGATACAATGATATTACCAATGTAATTTTCAGAGCACTGAGAAGTTTGGTGTTGATTCATCTCACCTRCACCTTTGCTGCCTAAAGTACAGACATATTGTGTTAAATTTCTTGTCCAGTTCCCCACAGCTAGTGGAGAGCAGTATCTCTGCTCCAGTTGGCTCCATTGTAAGGCAACTGTCTAGAGCCAATGACATGAACATCTCTAGCAGATGACTGTGTTCAATGCAATGAGCTTAGGCAACTGCCTCTGACTGGAAGCTTAATTGTCAGGTAGACACAATTAGGGGAAAAAAAAAAAAAAAAAGACTGTCACTTCTTTTGCATGAAGACAAAAAGTGGTTACAAGACTAAATGCCACGAGTCCTTGTTTGTCATGGGCCGAACGGCTTTGGTCCTGCAATGGGATCTACAAGCCTGCAGATGTGATCCCCACAGTGTCAACTCAAAGCTTGGGTGACAGAGCCCCCAAGTCCCCCCCAGCAGCCCCCACGTCACTGCAGATGCACAGCCACYTCTCTCACTGCCTGGCAGGGCAGAGAGGAGCACGCGGTTCTAGCTCTACATATTGTTATCTGGTGCCCAGTCACCAGTGATTCCCATGGGTGCAAAGAGCTGCAGGCAACCCAACTGAAAGCCTCKTGTTCCCCCTTCCCTCTGCCAAGAAAAAGGATAGTCTCAAAGCGGACCTTCAGCAGTGGGTAGATACCTCCCACTCTGAACCCTCTGTATCATAAATTTTTATGTGCATCCACAGGGCTATAGGCRAAGCTACTAACATCGCAGAGCACGGTGAGGAACTCTATCAATGCACGAGGCTACATCCTATAGCAGAGTYGTAAGAGATCCCATGAGAACTACGATTCAAAACCAACTGCACACACATTTCCAGGGATGCTGTCATGCATGGCAGGACTTAAAAACTACAATAATGTACGCAAATACTTTCACCCAAACAATAAAACTGAATCAAAACCACATTCAGCTTCTCTGGTGTTTATTATGGAAAGAAAAAAAAAAAAAGAAAGAAAAAAGAAGGAAAAGGCCAAACAGGCCAAATCTTTTCTCACACAATGAATCTTCTCCCATCACTTTTCTGGGTTTATGCCACCATAGGCATAAAGTTCCAGATGCAGCCGTGGCGTAAATCACATTCTGTTAAATCCRCACACTTCAGGCAAGTTATACCATGCATACCTCTGTCCAACAGATTRCTGCAGAGTAAGAATAATAATTTCCAGAGCAACAGAGCAAGACATATTTCATGACTATTGTGAGGTATCAACATGAAGGAAAAGGAAAAAAAAAAATCTTACAATAAAATTTGGATCAAATTTTTTCCAGACTTACATAAGGAATGGATTTGTCTCCTTGTTCCTAATTTCAGTATAGGTGAGAGATTTCCTTTGGAAGTGTTGCCTTGCTATCCTCCCAATTCTCTCTTGACTTTGCTTTTAAAATTCATACCTATCATAAAATTGTAATACGCAGAGGGCAATCAAAGCAATTCCCATAACACTAGTAAAATATTTTGAGAAAAGAGGAATAAAGTGGAGGAAAAACAATCTACTTCAAAATACATTAAGTCATATCTTGCAAGTATCTGAAAGAATGTAAGGCAACTGATATTAGCTGTTGGATGTGTTTTTTTTGTTTTTTGATTTTTTTTTGACTTTCTTTTAAATCCAGAAGAGCACAGATTACATATTTCAAGATTCTGAGGCAAAATAGCTATGGGCAGTTCTCTTGCAACCTTCCAAAAATGCAAATTATGCTTACCTGACGTGTAAACATTACTATTGTATACACACAAGTGTACACATTCGCACACATGCAAAATGTTTTCCCTCTGGTACAATACACTCATAAAGTCAGTCTAATACTAATATTTTGAATTTATTGACAAAGATCATTAACTCATACTGCAAATACTCAGTGTCAATTACAGTAAGAAAGGAGCAAGYGCTCCCTTTGCTCCATGACCATCACAGCTAGCCTGTGCCTTCAAAAGTCACCTGCAGCTACTTAAAGACAGGTGGTTAACTTTCATCACCATATTTTCCATGATCATTTTGTTGTGGCAAGGCTAAAGGCTTTTGAAATGGCTCCAGGACCTGAGCAGGCATCTCTTGGCAAACACTCCATGCAGCCAAGCGCATCCCTGGCTCCCAATCCCAAGCACCTGCCGCAACAGCTCAGTGCAAAGCCCCATACGGGTGGATTTGGCCTCCTGGGCCAGCCCAGGCCACTCAGAGGCCTGCAGCTCCAGCCTGGGGTGATGACAGGTCACACAGAGCACATAACTCCTCAACACTCCTCCGGTCACAGTCACTAGAAGGTGCCCAGCAACGCTCATGATTCCTACTTGATGAGGYAACTTCTTTCTTATGTCACATTTCTTTCAAAGCCTTCTCCTACTTCTTGCTGCTAAAGGAAAGGTCYGTGTGGGATCTCCATCAGCAGGGATCCAACGTGACATCTTGCCTGAACATTTGTAAAAATTGTGAGCTGATTTGGGCAGCACCACCCAAACACCTTCCCCAGCAGCCACACCACCCCATCAGGTGACCTCTGGGGAGTCCCATGGAGAAATGAAGACCTAAGCTGGTAAGCTAAGGTGTGTGGTGAATTCTTGCAGTGATGAATGACCTACTGGGTATTTTGACAGTGGGAGGCAGGTCAAAAGGCATGTGCAAGGCAAGCCATGCAGTCGGTCCATAAAGTCAGTAAGGGCACAACTGGAGCTGGAAGGGTCTCACTTGCTGCATTTAGCAGTAGCAGCACGAACCAAAGCACAAATAAGCACAGGTGAAATGGAGGGAGACGATCCCCCATGCACAAAGGGAGAAAGAAGTAACAGAGGACTACTTTAATCCAGTAATAGCAAGTCAAAAGAATGATACTGAAATGCAAAACTGAGCTCAATAAGGTTCCAGCTCAATAAAGCATTTAACTTTAGTAAGAAGCAAGCATCTCTGTCCTGGTCTTTAGCCATCACTCATGATCCAGCAGCACAGCCTTTGCCTACAGGTTAACACTTTCCTTGCCATAATCTTATTTTTTATGCTTTTAGCACAAGGAAATACAAACATGCACAAAATGTAGGTTGATTTAAAACAAAATAATAATTCTTTCCACACTTAGCAGTTTCCTCTAGCACTGAAGTTTCCTTCTCTTCATTCACTACATTCTCCCAAGCTGKACCTACAGGAAAGCTCCATTTCAAGCACCTGCTTAGGTATTTTCACCTAAAGGGGTAAATATTAATCTGTTATTAGACAAATATGGTCCTGTGTGTATTAAGGAATCTTACGCTGGCATAACTACATCACTAGTGCAAAGCTGGACCGTTGAAGCACTCCAGCTTGCAGCAAGGAGACACGGGCTGGGTCTGCCACAAASAGCATGATTTATGTCTGCTCAGTTCTCATCACAGCATAAGATTATACAACCGAGGATGTGGAAAGAGACTAAAACACTTCTAGCATTTAAGTCTCTGCTGAAACAGCTAAGAACTGTCTCTTGTTTGATCTCTAAAAGTCCATTGCTGAAACGTACCTTTTCTTTTTTTGCAACAACTTCCTAAAGAAACCTGGGGCTGGTAAAGCCTCTGACTGAAAATACCTTTTTGACAAGCTCCTGCGCCTGTGCATCACTTGGCAAGATCACATTTCAAATTTGTAATTAAATGTACTGGAAATGTTCCAAAGCCCTTCAAGCATTTTACTACTTTACTCATGCAGCCCAGGGATGATTTTCCGATGTGCTTCACAAGCCATTTATCTCCACGGTGTTCTGCTCACAGTTGGTGGCAATACCAGGGCACGCACGCGAGGAGTGCGGGGTCCGCACACCCCCCGGCGCGACCCCTTCCACCGAGCTCATCTATGAAGCCCTCAAAGGGGCTCCTCATGGCAGGAGATCGCCGTGTAAGACACAGCGGGTTGAGGGGAAAATATCTCTGCTCAGCCTTTGAACTTCCATAGAGTCTCTTAGGAAAATCTCCGCGGGCAAGCAGCAGATTTGCTGCCCGTCACCCGCGAGTGGCCGCGTGCGGTTTCAGTCTTGATGCTGCCACGGGGAAAAGCCAATTTCTTGCTACAGTGTATAACTACYCTCGTAAAGCCCCCTTCCCAATTCCGCATGGGCAAGGTCTCGGCAGCGCATGGCTGGTGCTGCTCTGGTGACCACCTTCTCCAACAGGTGGACACAGGACATCCCTTTGGGAGAACCCTCTGAGTCCCATCAGCAATCCCRAATGGTGGGATTGAGGAGATGGGTCCCCAGGAGACCCAGGATGGTTCTCCAGGAGACCCATGGCTGCGAGAAGAGCGAGAGCGCGGCCAACCCCACACCAACACGACCCAGGACGGGAGATGGCAAGACCCCACCACCAGCATGGCCATCCCCCCTTGGCGCACTCACCCCGCTCGCCGGCCTGCACGGCGCGCACCACGTCGTCCAGGTCGAGGTGGCGGCTGCTCTCGTCGAAGCTGTGCACGGCCATGTGGAAGGCCTCCTCCTGGAAGACCACGTGGACGCCCTCCATGGCGAAGTAGCAGCTGCGCTCGGGGTTGCTGTCGCTGTAGAGCAGCGTGGCGCGGCTCCACTGGTGGTGCCTGAAGAGGGCCAGCAGCATCTCGCCCATCTTGGCGTAGGCGGGCGCCACGCGGGTCAGGTGCGAGTACTCGCCGCCCTTGGCGCCGAAGCCGGCGGCCAGGGCGCCCGCCGACAGCATGGGCACGTCCCAGTGCGCGGCGAGGCGCGCCACGGGCGCCGCCGCGTACTCGCACACGGGGCCCAGCAGCAGGTCGGGCCGCCGGCGCCGCAGGGCCACCATGTCGACGAGGCTGAAGAGCGCGCGGTTGCCGCACGCCGAGTCCTCGTAGGTGAGCTCGAAGGCGTAGCCGGGCGGCAGCCCCGCGCCGCTCTGCCGCAGGCTCCGCACCGCGTACTCGATGGCCGGCCGCACGCGGGCCAGCGAGAAGAGGTAGGCGTCGTCCCGCGGCAGCAGCACCAGCACCCGGATCAGCTTCTCCTCCTCCTCGGCCGCCGCCGGCTCCGCGCGCGCCGGGCCGCCCAGCGCCGCCAACACGCACCAGAGGCCGCCGAGCAGCCAGGGCGGCATCG